CCCCAAAACCCCAAAACCCCAAAACCCCAAAACCCCAAAACCCCAAAACCCCATCAAGACTAATAATAATTGAAATAAATTTAGCATGAATAAAATTTCAAAAGCAAGCAAAAACTCGGTTGCAGCATCCACAAAAGCATTAAATTACTTTAAGAAATTTAAAATCACAAGAGAATTTGTTAAGAAATTGAAGGAGAAGAGAGCTAAGACTAAACAACAAGAAAAGATTGGGCTTAACACCTTACCCAAGTCAGAACATCATCTGAAAAGAATGATCAATAAAGCAATGATAGCTATCAACATCCCTCATGCCCATGAAATGATCGGCCGTAAAGAGATAATAGAAATAGCAGCTGAGATGGGTGTCTCTATTTCAAGGCTCCAGGCCACAGAAATTATCCTGAGAGCTAGAGGTCCTCAACTTGAAGAAAACAGGACTTGAAACCTTGACGAAATAGTTGCATGGTTCAAAGAAAACTGAGAAATTCTTAGGCCAATAAAGAAGCACAACAAAAGTGTCCAACTGGAATCTGCTAGAGTGAATACTTTATTCTCCACTACTCAAGATTTTAGTTCAAAGACATTTAGAAAAGGAAGGAAAGAATTTTCTGCTCAGCCCAGGATTCATCGAAGAACTGGTAATTCCTTTGACACAAAGTCCTCAATGCTCTCGAAGCTTAAGAAAATGGGTCCAAAAGAGCTAAGGAACAATCCTGATTTTATGAAAGATGTCAATGAATGCCTACAAAATGTAATTTACATTCTAATCTTTAGATGAAAGAACTCCCGTCTTTAAGGAAGAAGACTCAAAAGGTCTTCTCAGAGATGGAGAAAAAGATGTTTAAGACACAGAAAGAATCTGCCTTTAGTGCTATACAAAGATCTAGGATGTACTTATCTCTAAACAGGCTTCAAAATTTGCACAACTACAAATAAAAAACTAGACTCAATGATAATGGATTCTAGTAGAATAACGACCCTCGGAGGGTCTTATAGCACAGCTAGCTCTGTAATTAGGTTAAGCAGACTACTGGCTCGGCCATATTTCAAGAAAGAGAAAATATTTGACCTGAATTCTACAATCAAGGGGAAAAGAATAAATCAACTAAAGTTGTAAAATGTGTTCAATCTATTGTAGGAAAAACGGGGTTTTGGGGTTTTGGGGTTTTGGGGTTTTGGGG